TTGAACCCCCCACCTTCAATCACCGGACCTTCATTCAAGTTGCTGAGGTGCCTCCCTAGTTGCCCAAAGCGGTGTATGCGTTCCTTGGTATCAATGGGAGCATACACATTAAACAGGTATACTGGTTCATTGTCAAATGTTACATGAACATGTAAAAGTTGGCCACGTACAATATCAGTAACTGAAATAAAATTTACAGTTTGTGCAAATAACATGACTAAAACAGCGTGCACGTGATTACTTGTACTATGGAAATGTTTTCCTCTACCCCCCCCCCCCCCCACACACACACACACACATACAACGTGCCAAGTACTTTCTTTAGAAAACAGGGAATCGGTTTCAATATTTAAATAAATGTTGCAGGAGTGATCACGCTTGTATCGTTTCGTAGAATCACGGCAGCCAATGATATTTAAAGTGATACCAGAGATGGAGGTTGCCATGCTATAATAAATAACATGTATTGTGACGCGCAGTGAACATTAAAATTCGGCAATGTCATTGCCAGTTGACTTGATCTTCTTTTTATTTTATTAGTGAGATATTTTCATTCAGATTTTCTGTGAAGAGTTCAGTGGTTGTGTGTACGTGTAAATGGAGTGTTAAGTAAAAACCAGGAAATCTTTATTGAGTTCGGACTAAGATTGATCTACATGCCAGGACAGCTAGAGATGTCTGAGACTATAGAACCTTCATCATCACTGTTCTCATTATCACTTTCTTCACGGTAATCCCGTGGTGCCTGTGGGTGGCAAACAGATACTGCGAATTAGAAAAACTAGACCCAGACAAACCAGAAATCGGAAGAGGTACTGAGTCGAAAGTCATGATTGCAGTTTGTTTCATTGGCTGGGAGTGCCCAAAGTGGCGGGTCGCGTACGACCTCCTCATATACATGTGGCGACACTTCACAGAGTTTTGGGTGGGTTGAGGTGAAGATGGGGGTTCAAATCGGGGGTTTAGAGGAGGGGTTTGTACCCTCTCTTCATCAGTTAATTTATTCAAGAGTTCTGTATTATTACTGTTATTGCCTTCGATGTTTTAATTTTTTCTCATTTCATTTAGTTTTTCAAGATCCACCTGCAACGTTTCCTATTTGTATTTCGCACTTTTCTTTTTCTTTCACGCTTATTGCCTCAAAATTTTAATCATTTTTTCCCTTTTTTATTTTCAACCCGAGTTTCATCTCTTGAGTATTACTTTTCACTGTTTCTATATGTTCTGTATGTTCACCTTTGTTTTCAATGACATATGTGACATTTTACCATTGTTTTTACCAGTATTAATTGCGTTATTTAAGTGTTCACTGTTTTACAAAGTAAACAAATAAACTCATCAGTAGAGACATAACTATTGTACACCTGACCATCATGTTGTATTGGCAGCAAACCATTTATATTGACGTCTTTTAAATATAGAAAATAAACGAATATACGTAAATATACGAAAAGGCTGGAGGTTTTAATGTCGGCCTTTT